GCCATCACTAGTGACGCGCTGACCTGGTGCCTGAATTAAAGACTTTTCCCTCATGATGATGATGATTTGAATCTATATTGCATGTTGTGTCAGCCTATAATTGTTGTTGCATTGTAACTTTGTTCATAATTGTTATTTTTAAGTGTACCATGTTGTAATGTAACAATGTTGGTAGACCTAATAAATAAATAAATAAATAAATGATTTCCAGCCAACCTCGACAAGCTACGCGCCATAGAGAAGTGCGGGCTGTCTCTCACGGGATTGTACTCGCTTCACGTGCGCCGCGTGCTCGCTGCCATTACTAGTGACGCGCTTACCTGGAGTCTTCTCACGCCGGATCGATGTCTGCTGGAGTGCGTGCTCATGCATGCCGGTAAGTGATTTCAAAGTCTATTTGTTAGTCCGTGAGACCGCTGCAAAATTGCCTACGTCATCTGACGACATCGCACTAAAAACATAAGGCCCCGAAATTAGTCTACAAAGTAATAGTAAGCCAGAATCGAAAGATTATCGCTCCTAAAATTGGCCAGAAGCTGTATGTGACATCAATACTTGGCATGGGGATGTCGTGTCCTAATAGTTAAAATAAAATAAAGATAAATAAAATCAATACTTGGGATCATTTTATTTTCATGCATTGCTATTTAAACTATCTTTAATGTTGGCAATCCTCAATTCGTCCGAAATATTTCAATGTCATTTAGTGACGAGCACGAGGTGGAAATGATGCTTACGCAGGATTTGGTGAGTGCTACTGACAACGCCACTCTTGTGGCGGATTTTTGGGCTGACACTGTGTAGGTTTGTTGTCGATACGAAAAGAAGAAGTCCCAAATATTTTTTTCTAATAGCAACACTCATTTTACATCAGGATCTGCCATGGGCGATCAGCTGCATCTCATCGCGCCTCTCCTCAAAGAGTGTCTGGCGACCCCCAAAGTGGACCCAGAGGTGAAGCTGAAGATCTTTACTGTGCTGTCCACTGTACTCCTCAAGAGGCAGGCCAACTTCTGCAAGTGCGAGACTGATAAGCTGGAGGCTTTCCTCAAGATTGTTATAGAAGGTATACTTGAATTTCTCATAACACTTTGATTTTTTGGGTTTTGGGGTTTTATTTAATTGACATTATCGCGTAAGACCGAAACTCCTTATGCGCAGTGTAACTGACTGGGATAATCCAGTTTGTATTTTAGATGACTTTTTTGATCAGCCTTACAAGTGTGACATTGTTATTTGCACTGACTATAATTATGATGCACACATTTATCTGTGCCATCTCCATGCTAAAGCTAATATTAATAGATTCTATATTAATATTTGTTTTAGCATGGAGATGGCCAGTCGGTTTCGTGGGACTCTCCCTGCCAAAAGGGGTGGGTCTACCTACTAAAACCCGATTTTCAATGAAACGGATCGGTTAGCTATTATCCTAAACTGGCTCAAATCTGCACCTGCTCAACGCAGGGTAACTTTTGTAGCTTACAGCCCTTACTCATGTACAGACCACATGATACCGGTTCTTTAATAAATTAAACGTTGATATCTATCCATGTTTAGAGGTGATAATGCCGAACCTGGTGTGGTCTGCGGGACGAACCGCCGAGGCCATCCGCAGCGCCGCCGTGGCTTGTCTCTGCTCTGCTTTGCAAGATACTCCGCAGGACGACTGCAAGCTTGTACGGGACAAGGGTGGCGACGGGGATAATAATGAGAAGGTGAGACATAAGGGGGGACACAGGGATAACAATGAGACGGTGAGACACTTGGCACATCTGTGTCTGAGGACAAACGATGAAGCTTAGCAGTGAGAGTCACGACTGAGGCCATCCGCAGCGCCGCCGTGGCTTGTCTCTGCTCTGCCTTGCAAGATGCTCCGCAGGACGACTGCAAGCTTGTACGAGACAAAGGGGGCGACGGGGATAACAATGAGAAGGTGAGACATAAGGGGGGAAACGGGGATAACAATGAGACGGTGAGACTCTTGGCACATCTGTGTCTGAGGACGAACGATGAAGCTTAGCAGAGAGAGTCGCGACTGAAGCCATCCGCAGCGCCGCCGTGGCTTGTCTCTGCTCTGCCTTACAAGATGCTCCGCAGGACGACTGCAAGCTTGTACGGGACAAGGGGGGCGACGGGGACAATAATGAGAAGGTGAGACATAAGGGGGGAGACGGGGATAACAATGAGACGGTGACACACTTGGCACATATGTGTCTGAGGACAAACGATGAAGCTTAGCAGAGAGAGTCACGACTGAGGCCATCCGCAGCGCCGCGTGGCTTGTCTCTGCTCTGCCTTGCAAGATGCTCCGCAGGACGACTGCAAACTTGTACGGGACAAGGGGGGCGACGGGGACAATAATGAGAAGGTGAGACATAAGGGGGGAGACGGGGATAACAATGAGACGGTGACACACTTGGCACATCTGTGTCTGAGGACAAACGATGAAGCTTAGCAGAGAGAGTCGCGACTGAGGCCATCCGCAGCGCCGCCGTGGCTTGTCTCTGCTCTGCCTTACAAGATGCTCCGCAGGACGATTGCAAGCTTGTACGGGACAAGGGGGGCGACGGGGACAACAATGAGAAGGTGAGAGACACTTGACATATCCGACTCAGATGTTCACTGGGAATTTCTGAGATTGGGGGGTTATTTTTATGGGACAGCAGGTAAGTATATTTTTTATGATTGAGTTTACAAACAATGAGTCTGCTCCGCGCTGCAATGAGGGCTATCGTTTTAGCGCTCACCAGTTAGCGCCACTGTAGAGTAAGGTACTGTCACTTGCTAGTAGCGAAGACAGTGGCACCAACTGGTGAGCGTGAAAGTGGTAGGAGGACTATCGCATTTGCACTCATCAAGATGGCGCCACTGTAGAGTAAGGTCCTGTCAATCGCCAGGGGTGCCAACTGTTAAGTATAAAAACGATAGCCCTCATTGCATGTTCACACGAGACTGAGTGAGGACACTGGTGCTATCTAGCTTCTGAAGATTTTTCGGAAGTTTTGAAGCGTAGCATCAACACAGTCGCTTGGCCTTGAGGCAGCCTACCTTTGCCCCTCTGGGTAGTACGCCCATGATTGCAAGCGTTTCTCAGTATAGACCAAAAAAATCTTATTTACAAGACCCAAGACATAATTATATTCTGCAGAAGTTTTTCATACACACGAATCAGAGGTGTTACATTTTTTTTTTATTATTTCAGGAAGTGAATCTATTCCCGACTAAAGAATCTTTGGAGCCATTTATGGAGAAAATAGTTCCCCTATTAGTGGGGCTGGCGGACGACAACTCTACGCTGACCAGACAGCACACGCTGCGGGCTATCTGCTACCTGGCCACTTTAGCCAAGCAACGCGGCTGTTTCACCGTCGAGATTCTGCACAAGTTGTACTTTGGTGAGCAACACTGGATTTTATATCTGCAGATATCCCAAAAGCTTAACTTCCAATACTTATCTTGATTCTTGATATCGGTTCAACTTTATCCAGGCTACTTTTCTGCAGCTGTGAACCCAAGAGAGATAGATAACTACTATCTTAATTTTTTTTATTTTTCTTTATTCAGAAAACCACAGCTCTAATTTTAATATTTCTGGGTTGGAAGTTAGAAGACCTGTATTTTTTTTTCTAATGGCAATACTACCCTTTACCACAGATCATAAATTCCCAGACAGAGCGTTCCGATTCATGCTATAACAGTTTCACCAAATACATAAAAGATAAAATACCTTTTTATTTCCAGTGGTGCTCAAACGCCTTGACGACAGCAGCGATAAGGTCCGCTCGTACGCCGTCCAGACGCTATGCACCCTCTTCAAGAGCCGACCGGAGTATAATAACGTGACGTACGGCGCCCATATTGACGCTCTCTACAGCGCTATGTTGATTCACTTGGATGACACGGACGAAGGATTCAGAAAGGAGATGCTGGGTAAGACAGTATTGAATGAGGGCTATCGTTTTAGCGCTCACCAGTTAGCGCCACTGTAGAGTAAGGTCCTGTCACTTGCTAGTAGCGAAGACAGTGGCGCCAACTTGTGAGCGCTAAAGTGGTAGGAGGACTATCGCATTTGCACTCATCAAGATGGCGCCACTGTAGAGTAAGGTCCTGTCAATCGCCAGGGGTGCCAACTGTTAAGTATAAAAACGATAGCCCTCATTAGCTAGCATGTTTAGATAAGAATTGAACCTGTCTATCTAGTCCAATATTTATGGTATTGGCATAAATTATAATCAATCTAAATCTAAAGTAAAATCAATCCGAAATGATTTTGATATTTCTATTTTGTTTCTTTCAGATGCACTTTTGTCACTCTGCGATCTAGACCCCGAGATGATCTTGAAGAAGGTTAAAGCGAATATTCACCTTTACAGGAATAAAACTGCGTACGAACGTCTTTCTAGTCAAGCTGAGAAACTAGTAAAAAAATAAATTGTGAATTACGTAGTGAATAATTTAATTATTGAAATGAATTATTGACAAGGTTGTGCCTTTATGTTGAGTGGTTTTAAGTTTATTGCTAGTAGATAATAAATATATTTTTATGTCCTAATTTTGTGGTTTTACTTATTTAAAAACAACAAAATATAACTCATTATCAACTGCCGCCGGAAGACGAAAAAAAGAAAGAAGAAAGAGAGAAAAGAATAACTCCATGAAACTACCAATGATGTAAAAAAACGACCACAGTTTGCAAAATCTGTATTTCGCGCTGTTCCGCCAAGTAATGTTGCCAGGATTGTTAGTACAATTTGTACTCCTGTAACATTTATTTTGTGGAAAGTTTCAGACAATCAGACAACTTGAAATAATTATTTGTATTTAATTGATAAATAGTGATCCTCATCATCAGAAAAATGTTGACAGGAAATCACCATTGGCGGTCTTAGTTTAAGATTTTATAAAAAAAAACACTTGCTGTCGTTTGGCTCAAAAGCCTAGAGCCCAGAGCCGTAAAGTACAATAAATAAAAAATCCTGCTGGCCCGCTGTCATTAGTGTCATTTATGACAGCTGTGGAAACGATAAGGATGGTGTGGTTTCGCTTGTGATGTGATTTTTAATATTTTTCATCAATTTTATTGCTTATATTCCATTATTAATGACTGTAATCTGACTATTTTGTTAATATTTATCGTCACAAATATGGAAGTGACTCGTAAAAGTATGTGTCGGTACCCACAAATTGAAAAATATTGTTGTTCACCAATGCGGATAGTTTTCGTTTATGAAATCCTTTCTTTTCAGATTTTAAAGACGTTTTGCCTCTCGTACAGGATTCAATTAATAAAGCTGACTTCCTGGTGATAGATGCAGAGTTCACCGGCCTCATAAACGGTCGAGATGTATCTATGTTTGATTCTCCATCTGAGTATTATTCCCGGCTGTTGAAGGGGTCTAGTGAGTTTTTGCTGATCCAGTATGGGCTGTGCGCGTTCTATTGGGACAAAGAGAACCGGCATTACATGAACGATGCGTATAACTTCTACTTATTTCCCCGCGGGAGGCCAGGACCTGAGAAAATGTTTATGTGCCAGAGTTCCAGCTTAGATTTCTTGGCATCACAAGGATTTGACTTTAACAAGCTTATAAAAGAAGGTTTGTTGATAATTAACATACATAATATGGTGAAAAACATTAAGGTTTGTATAAAAATAATCATCATCATATTCTTGTTGGTTTTAGGTATTTCCTATATGACAGAGCCAACAGAGACCAGACTGCGTGAGCTGTTGACTGAAAGACAAAAAAACTATTCAAATGAAAAGGACACTATTACAATACCTGAAGAAAATAAACCACAAATAGAAGATGTATGGTAAATATCATCTTTCCAGTATAATTCTAGTATTATACCTACTTGACTTTACTGCAATTTATATTAAACAGTTGTGTATATCCTCATAAATTGGCACTCAAGTCAACATTTGATTTATCTATACGTATAATAAATCTGTAGAGAGGTCAATTCTGTACATCCCAACTAATATTATAAATGCGAAAGTAACTCTGTCTGTCTGTCTGTTACGCTTTCCCGCTTAAACCTCGCAACCGATTTTGATGAAATTTGGCATAGAGATAGTTTGAGTCCCGGGAAAGAACATAGGATAGTTTTTATCCCGGTTTTTGAAACAGGGACGCGCGCGATAAAGTTTTTCTGTGACAGACAAAATTACACGCGGGCGAAGCCGCGGGCGGAAAGCTAGTTAAATATATTTTCAAAATAACTATCAGGGGGTGATTAGTGATCGATACGATGCCAAAAATGCAATCAGTAAAATTTTTGTCTGTCTGTCTGTATGTATAAACAAAAACTACTCGACGAATTTTAACGAAACTTGGTACAATTATTCTTCTTACTCCTGGGCAGGTTATAGGATACTTAGGAATTCCCACAGGAATGGGAATTAGCGGGAAAATCGTTTTGTATGAAAAATCTGAACCGCTTAAGTTCAGGGTTCGAGGATATATATCAAAGGATATATATCTTGATATATATCTTGATATATATCGGATATATATCCGATATATACAGGGTGGAAACGTTAAGTGATCTCACTCGATTATTTCTAAACTATACAAGATATCGAAAAACTGATTACTGATTCTAAAAGTGCTTCACAAGCTCTTTCAAACGGTACCAATAATAGGTTACATAATAAACTGGATCAATCGAAAAATTCAATGTTTCCAGCTTCCATACATTTAGTAAAACCACATAATATTAAAAACTATACAAGATATTCAAAAACTTTTTACTGATCCTGAAAGTGCTTCACGAGCTCTATCCAACGATACCAATAATAGGTTATAAAATTAACTGGATCCATCCTAAAATTCAATGTTTCCAGCTTCCATACATTTAGTACAGCCACAGTCATGGCACTCATGTCTTGATAATATTATAGCAAGTAAAGCCTAAAACCAATGTTTTCCATGAATAATTTTAAATAAGAATGCAATTTACGAGTTAATTTTAAGTGTTTATTGTTTAATAAAAAAAATTAATACTTCTAATTTTGTTTGGCTGGCATACATTTAGTATGGAGGCTGAAAACATTTAATTTTTGGATAGATCCAATTAATTCTGTAACCTGTTTTGGTACCGTTGGATAGAGCTCGTGAAACACTTTCAGGATCAGTTACCAGTTTTTCGATATCTTTTATAGTTTAGAAATAATCGAATGAGATCACTTATCGTTTCCACCCTGTATCAAGCTGGTTTTATTGATATATATCAACTTTTAAAATTTGTTACTGTATTTATACTTTTTGACATAAGATTTTTATTTTTTTAGTTGATTTTGCCGTATTTAAAAGAAATTTTATGTTTTTGCTTTATTTGTCTGATTTTAAGTTTTAAAAACATTAAAAACATGTTTATGTAACACTTATGCAATAATATTCATGAATAATACAAAAAAATAATAGTATGGCTTTCATACAAAATGGATATATATCAAAGTTGATATATATCTGATATATATCATAAATATCCGATATTTTGATATTTATAATAAATATCGGATATTTTCGAACCCTGCTTAAGTTAGACGCTTGAAATTCGGCATGCAGGTACCTTAGTAAACTTAAAGCTTAGTTACAACAGGATATTGCAAAATTCCTACGGGAACGGGAGTTAGCGGGAAAAAACATTTGTATGAAAAATCTAAACCGCTTAAGTTAGATGCTTGAAATTTGGCATGCAGGTACCTTAGTAAACTTGAAGCTTAGTTACAACAGGATATTGCAAAATTCCCACGGAAACGGGAGTTAGCGGAAAAAAACATTTGTATGAAAAAATCTAAACCGGGTAAGATAGATGAAGGGGGTAAAACGGGATCCACGCGTGCGAAGTCGCGGGCGGCCGCTAGTCTTACATAAAGGCCCCTTAAGAGCCAAACTATTTTTTTAGTCTTTTATTTTTATTCTTGAAATATTTGTCAATTTGTACGCAAAATTTAATAGTCCATATGAATAAAGTTGACTTTTTAAATTTTAAGCAATCGTGTTCGTAAGTTCCTTGATGACGAAGACTCGGATGAACTGGAGGTAGACCGCTGCAATGCCTTCATCCGACGGCTGCTATTCCAAGAACTGGGGACACGTTTCAAAGGAGAAGCCGCTGTGGAAACCAAGGTTTTAGAGAATAAAAACAGGTAAACCTCAGGGTTATTAGTTTACGAATAAAGTTTTTGGAATAATCTTTTTTAATAATGCACCTTAAGGATACAGCATGATGGTGAGTTTGAAAGTGACCTTTTTATATTTAAAAAGCTTTTTACTTGGTGGAAAACATGTTGTATTTATTAGATTTATGAAACAGACAAAATAATATTATTATTATGTGTTTCATGAATTTTTTTTTTCATTTGATGTTGGGCTTAAAACATAGTTGTTCTTAATTACATACCTACTGAAAGGATTATATTAGTCTTAATCAATTTTAGAATATACATTAACAAACTTCTTAGTTTATTTTGCTGTATACTAAAGAAAATCCCTTTTACATGTATTATTTTAGAGTGCTTAAAGTGGTGCGCCTCAAAGAAGGCGACGACTCGAAGAGTCGGGACACACAGAAGAAAGAAAGGGAGTGGGAGGACTTTGAAGCTGCCGTTGGGTTCTCTAAAGTGGCGCGGATGATCAGTCAGTCTGTAAGTAACACCCTCTAAGTAACTAGAACAATAGACATCCTTACTGTACTGTAAGTAAGTTATCTATTATGAGGAACCCACTCGTAAAAGTGCTTTTTAAAAACCTACTTGCCAATATAAAATGAGTTTTGTGAGTTACAAAAGCATATTTAGCTTAGCATGAGGCTGAGGGGTTAATGGGACTATTAGTAATTTGTACAATTCAAATTTCTAATATTGTTTTGTACAAAAAAATGTTGCCCAGGAGCAAGTGACCACCAAGTGATGTTTTAAATATTATGTATTCATGAAAATGTATTGAGAAAAAACTTTAAAAGTAAACCTTTCTATAAAAACCTTTGTTTGTATAAAATTGGTAAATCTATATCAATAAAAAAAAAGGGGGTCTAAATATTTATTTTTAAAACTGGTACTTAGGCCACTGCCATTTTAATTATTATTCATTCAGCCATTTTTTCCAAGAAAACACTGTTTTTACAAGCTTTTTATTACTTTCACATGTCTGGTGTCTGTCGTCAAATCTTGCAACTTATTTTATAATGTGGTAACTTAGAGACATGGCATTGTAATAAAAATCCACTGTGTTTTCTAACTAACATTGTTTATATTGCAGGAAAAGCTGGTGATAGGCCACAACATGCTGTTGGACGTGCTGCACACACTCAACCACTTTTTCCAGCCGCTGCCTGACGACTATGAGTCGTTCAAGGAGTTCACGCATTGCATGTTTCCAAGGTAAGAGTAAAATATATGCACATTCCCTTGAAAATAATATCTCTTAATTAGCAAACATTTGATAACAGTGTTCTATTTCATTCTGGACGTAATTTCATTCATGAAAAACTAACTGTATTTTTTATTATAAAAAAAATCTTCAAACTTTAAACTGCGCGCGAGGTCTCAGTGGATTGAATTGAAAATTGTATCATTTTGTCAATTCTATACCTTGAGCCTTGAGTTTGTTTCAAAAGCTTGTTTAAATAATTTTTAATTTTTTTTAGGATTTAGAGTCCCAGATCTTAGTTATTTGGAAATTATTGAATTGCCTAAGGTGGGAATCGAACCCACTTCCTTTCGCTTTCCGAGCTACTGCTCTCTTGTTTGATTATCAAGAAGATATTTTATCACAAGTCACTGAATTTAGGCGAGCTGCTTGAAAAGAAAAAACAAATAGGTAGTAGGTGTTTTATTGATTGTTTGTTCCAGCTTGCTAGACACGAAGTACATGTCGAGCCTGCCGCCCTTCAAGGACAGGGTGAATTCCAGCGTGCTGCAGCACCTTTTCACCACCCTGGCCGAAGAGCCCTTCTCGATGCCCGTGACAGGTTAATTTCGTTTTTCAAGATTAACTTTATTTGACACAAAAAAAAACAAAAAACTGAAGCAAAAACTTTCATGCCAAATATAAAATAGTTTAATCGAGATTTTCGCTTGAAAAAATGAAATATACATATTACTATGAAAGACTAAAAACAATGGAGGACACGCCATGCCATTTATTATTATTCTGTGGTATTACTAATTTAATCAGTCGTTCTCATTTATGTTCACTTTCTCGGCAAATGGTTTGATTTTGTATTCTTTGAATTCGGCTGGACAAGCAACATAAATTTATAAGTAGGATGTGATGCCGTCTCCGTCAGTTAGATGGCGGTGTACGTATTTAACTCGCGGTGACATTTAAATTTTTCAGAAATGCTTTATAACCAAGTACAAGACATGAGAGACGTTGAACCTGTATTATTGCTTACAATTTTTGCAAGTGATCATTGGCTTGCGTCAGTGATCACATTATTTTTTAGAATGTCGACTAACGTTATGGATATCTTACTTTGGAAATATTGGGATGGTGGTTTAGTCGTTTTTTTGTTACAAAATATCACCTATTATAAGTTACAACGACATAAGATGTCACAATGTTTATATTGGTGTGCGTCTGCACACATTGCTTTTCTCCCCAACTAGTCCAGCCAGCAGCATGGGGAGTGTAGATCAAATTTGTTTCTTTTGCCTCTATTTATAATTAGAGAAGATCGTCTTTCTGTACTGGAGACTATAGCATTGTCACATTGGATGCAGCCTGCGATCAGGTCAAATGAACTCACGTAGCCCGCACCTATCAGTTTGCGTTGTTTGCTCGTGCCCGCAATGTTAGATCACATCAATATAAAATGTAAAGAGACAGACAATGTTGTTAATACATGATGCGGGCTACGTTCACATTGATCTGACTACAGACCGCAAAAATCCTTAAATGATCTGATGAAGATGATGACTTTTCCTCAAACTTTAGAGTCAAAAGATGGCCGCGGCTACTGTCGCTCGGAAGACAAGAATCATGAGGCTGGTTACGACGCCTACGTCACGGGTCTCTGCTTCCTCTCAATGTACTCGCATCTCTGCAAGATGAGGGGCGAGGACTCCGGCCGCGTATTGCCTAACTGCCCTGTGTTGAAGCCGTTCCTTAACAAGCTGTTTTTGGCAAAGACGGCGCACCAGGACTCGCCCTACATGAACTTCAATGGAGACGACCGTGAGTACTCCTGATGATCTAAATCTTACAACAAGAAGAATAATTTTTCACTTGCGACTTTTTTTTAAATAATTGATTTCCTTTCCCAGCATCACCTTCGAGAGACCACGTGTTCCACTTGACCTTCCCCAGGGAGTGGCTCAGGACTGACATCAATCAGCTGTTTAGCCCTTTCGGTGAGTTAGTTGTATTTTATATTTCATGCTTTATGTTGGTATATAAAGGTTCTTACATAATAGACATAGACCCGTAACATTCATGTGACTACACAGCCGTTTGAGTTGCAAACAATAGAAAATAATTTCATAAAAAGAAATCCGACTTAATATCTAGAAAGAATAGAAAGTACTTACCTGAGTTTGTGTAGAATACGCCTGATCTGCTCGCGCAGTTGCTCGGGCGTGCCGTGGAAAACACAATCATTTTGCACTGAATTAACTGTATTGATAACTATTTGCCGGAGCGCGGTATTTTCGGTTTATTTCTCAAAATAATTACACTCACTTTATCACACAAAAAAATATTAAGCACGGAAAAAAAACGACAACTTTCCAGTCCACTTAGACGTCCGTTCGCTTCGACAGTCCATAGCGGAATGACTACGACTACGCTGCTACGAAGTGCTCTCCCCTCCAAGCCACGACGTCATTGGTGGTGCACTTGTAGAACGAGATCGTAGCACTGCAGTCATATTAAATACTTTTTAAATATATTTACATTATTTAAGGGATATAATTTTTCAGTATGTAGGTAATATTTTATTATTATAGTTTAATTCACTTCGTCCTTAGTTTTTTTTCACTACATGTAAATTACCTTCCAAAAATAAAAATATGGATATACATAAAAAAATTAAAACTATGTAGTTCATCCGCTGGAAGCGGGGCGGGGCTCAAGCTACCTTATTATTATTTTATTTACCTGAAGTAATGATAATTTTTAATAAAATTTAAAAAAATCAATTAAAATACTTGCAGTGAGTTTAATTCCTCCTCCGTTCCACAGGTCCAGTCACAGTTCAGTTTATAGACGACACGACGGCCATCATCGCGCTGTCGCGGCGCGACCAGGCGCGTGACGTCATGCGTGCGCTCGCGCACCACTCGCGCACCAAGCTGGTGCCCTTCACCCGGTACAAGCACGCGCTAGCCAAGGTAAATTATGCTTTATGACTTGGCTACAAGGTTTATATTACATGTATCCTAGCGTGATCTAGTTTTGATCAGATAAAAATAAAATAAAAAATATTCTGTTACATTATGATAAAAAAAATCTAAAGTTGCCATGATTGATTTTTAATTTTTTACCTGATCTTATTTATTGTACCGAATTATCTCTTTTATTTTTATTAACAAGACTCTTTTGTTCACAGTTCCACGATCATCGGCATCCATCGCCAGTGAAGCAAGTGTGCGTATTTCTACTTTTATTTGGTGTTGTCTGTTACGCGTGGTTCTTGCACTGGAAACACGTATTGTACCCGCGTATACACGCATATTTGTGTCACTGGACCGGTGATTGTTATTAGACATGAGCGCCTTGTAGTTATCGATATCGAGGATTTATGTTGCCACCGGGTGGCGCTACGATCGCGCGGTTTTTTACAAAATAATTTTAGGTATATCGTTAGTAATTTGACTGATCGCTTTACACAAAAACGTAGCGTTTTTTTTTAACTTTTTTGCATTCCAAAACGAAATTCCAAAAAAGCAGTACATATTTAACAATCGTCATTGACAGCATATGTCTACGATACGGTTACGAGTCGATTCGTCGAAATTAAAAATGACTCGAATATTATTATTACTAAACTGTAAAGGCAGTCGTCAAGTAGTTTGAATTGAGTTGAGTTTGACCATAAATGAATATTGAATTTATTTAAGGTGCAGCCAAACCAACGCGAATACACGTTAAGTCTGATCTCCATCGCTGCACGCCGGCTGATCGCGTGTGATCGCGTTGGTTTGACTGAACCTTTAAATATAGGGATACATATGTGACAAATTGTCTTATAAGTTTGGGTATGGAAGCGATGACGAAAATTCATCGGATCTATCGATGTTACATTGTCTACAGCACTGGTTGGTGAATTTCTTTTGTCCTCATTAATGTTACGCAGGGGGGTAGGGTGTCTTATGTTAGGAGCCTTATGAGGTTAGATTAGAGGGTATTTTTCCAGTAAATTTCTTTATCTGCTTGATATTATTATGTGTATTTGTGTTGTGTGTTGCATTCGAATAGTTTGGATCTCTTTTAATGATTCGATTTAGTTTGTAAGTTTCAAATTCCTTTGAAATGTTATGCGGTGATTATTTGAATTAGGAGGAGTAGGTATTTGTCATTTGTTTAATTTTATATCTTTTTTGTGAAGCAGGCTTCCTAAGTAGAAATATTGCATGGTTACATACATTTCGACGTCGATGACTGTCATTACCAATTGGGTATTTTACATTGGTATTTACTATTTAGCGTTTTTACGTAATATAAGAATTCCTAGATATTAAGTGAACTTTTGGATATTTTTTTATTTTAGTAATAAAAATATTATGAATATTTGTGAAGGCTTTGGACAACCGTGATATTATTCCGTTTTAATGTGATATTTATATTTAAAAAGACTTTATTGTAAACGTGTTGGTAAATTAAATTATTCTTATAAAAATGGAGGCTCAAATACTTATTCAAACATAAAGTTAAAATTATTTGAATTTAAATTACATATTGAAAAATATTTTATTGGAGACGTTCATAAATTTTCTCGTTATATTGAAATCTCAGGCTTGAGAGCCAATTTTTCGTGTTTTAATTGTTATTTTTAGTAACAGTCATGTGTAGTAGTGATCCATAAAGTGTCCTAATACAATTTAAATGATATTAGCTGTAGGTTTTTTTTACGTTTAGAATATTTTTACTTTTTTCAACAGGTTGACTCTAACAATAAGGTATTAAATAAGATCTCATTGTGTTTTCCCCTTTTTGATTTCAATTTTATGGCAATAAAATAAACAATGTTTTGGCTGTATATTTGTTTTATTTCACATCTTGTTGTTGGAGTCATATTGTTGAAATTAATTTACAAGAATGCAAATTTCTTGTAAGTTTGTATTCTGTAAACATTTTCATTTATCGCTCCAACTTTTTTTTCATTATTTTTTCATAATTTTCAATATTATTTTCATAAATAGTAATTTATGTTTTTTTCTATAAATTGTGTGTGGCAGTTGTAATAGAGCAGGACTTACAGGTATAATAATTTTATTTAGTTTATTAGATCTCAAAATCGAGAGTTGATTTTCTGTCAGTTCAATCAAGTAGTCAGTCTCTGGGACTGTTATCCCAGAACCTACGGATCGAGAGTCCTATGCACAGACCTTGGTTTACTTAAGGGTCATTTTAGCTGGCCGCATCGTACTTCATTATTATTTCTGGTACTGCCGATGCATTTGCATCGAGTCCGCACTAGTGTTACGGTAAATAGCTCATTACCCAAATAATTCCATGGCCGCCCAACGTTTCAATGGGTCTAGTTTTAGCGAGCGCTTCCATTGTACGCTGCGATTTTGCGGATCGTGAGAAGATAGCTGTAGGGTAGCCATGGCTTAGAAAGGATTAGGATCCCGTGACAGCTATCAAAAATTATGGCCCGTTAATATTATTTTATGTAGAGCACTTACGATACTATCAAGGCTAGAAATAAAGCATCACATCATCAGTACCGCTGGGTCCATCACTTTGGATAGATATTTAATGCTTCAAGTTCACACAAAATTTGATTCCTTATCACCTAAATGGGATTGCTCGCACCACGTTATTTCGGTCACTTGAGTTTTTTTTTCACAGATTCGTTTTTGTTTCTTTTAATGGCCACCCTATTCGGAAGCCTGGACAATGGCGCGTGGCTGACCCCTTGAACTCGTGCGCCACTTCCGCCATCTTATATTTTAATGCTCTTGTGTGTCTTTGACAATCAAAATCTTTACTTAGTATCTGTCAGAACGACCCTACGACCAAGTTTTGTCTGAGACTAATATTTTTGGTTTTGAAATTGCAAAGTGACGTCTCATTCTGAAGTCCGGGGTAGGTCATCAAAGTCTGGATATATGAACCTTGGGAAAATTTGCTAATCAGCATCATGGTAGGATTGTTTTCTGATCGTTGGTTATTCGTTAGTAAGGTAATTTGATACCATTATGTAGTTTAAAGTCGCGTTATTAAGTCGCGGGAGGTACCTGGATGCAAGCGGCGCAGGACCGGTCTTTGTGGAAATCCTTGGGGGAGGCCTTTGTCCAGCAGTGGACGTCTTTCGGCTGAAACGAACGAACGAACGAACGATGTAATTCAAAATAAAAAAGGAAATCTAGTTTCTCTTGTCAATACGCCTCACCACTAACCATTGGCCGTTGGTGGTATTGGTGCACGTTTAACTGGCTTACTCATAAGCGGTTTTGCATTAGTTTCCAAGTCTTACCATAAATCATATCCACCCTACTCGGTAGCCTGGACAATGGCGCGTGGCGATACCGGCGACCCCGCGACCTCGCGTGCCGCTTCCGCCATCTTGCATTTTAATGCGCCCGCGCCGCGCGCATTTGCATGCCGAAGACAAGTGAGATGATATTTTATTCTCATTTACCTTTGTGGAGCTTTTAATGCTCTCTTGTTATGGTTAGCTTTTAAATGTGTTTAGAGATTATGAATTAGTAACCGGTACCGTTGGTTGAACCCATTCTCTGGGGCATGTAATTCGCGAGATGGGTACAGATTGCGCCTCGAAGGTATTCCGTTTAGGTTTAATGTTAACACACGCTGTATTTTTGCCGTTTACTCCAGAACAGTTGTTACACGTGTCCATGGAAAATAATATTGTCTTTGATTTATGTTATCTTTGCTTGTGGCAAGTTTAGGGAAGAGTTTTGACCCAGACTCCGGAAAACGTTTCGTTTCTTGTAATTTTTCACGAATGAATCCGATCCGTCCGATCCGTATTTGATTCCGTTGGAGCACATCGATTCTGTTCTAAATAGATAACTGTGTTAGTACCTATATAGTTTTAATTGGAGCTCAGTATAGAAATATATCAAAATGAAAGCTTAGATTTATTACCAATACACGGCACGAGTCAATTCGTTATGCGGCTAGATATTGGATCCCAAACGCATTTTGTATTGAATGCATCAATGGCCCGGTATTGGGGTTATTCTGAATGTCACTGCGCGGCATGCCCACAGCCCACGGCTGGGCAAGCAATTTGCATGTGCGATCCGCGCCCGATTCGCCCACGCGGCCGTGTTCTTTGACGCGGCATTGCCCATTTCTAAAGGTCCCCTATAAAAGCAATAGCGAACTATTCGACATTCCGTGCGGGTAGACGTACGCCGCGTTTGTATTGCAATGTCAAAATTGTAGGTTCCTGGACTTATTAAGCAAGACAGACTTTATTGGATATCGACATTTTGCGAAACAAGCTAAAGAAAAATGTGCTTCCTGTTCCATTTTATTCTTTGTTGTTAATTTCTATGTTGCTTTGAGAAAAAAATGTTAATAGAAAAATACATCTTTTGGCCCACGGCTATGCTCATTTAGAATTCTGTTCGTTACTTAAAGTAGCTTTTGGAATTACGCATAACGTGAAATAATTCTTAGAAGCATTGTTCTTCATCGATTTTTTCTCGTTCTAATTGGTACCCTTTAAGCGATAATAAATACTATTTTATCTTCCTAAAGTATTATTCAGGGTGTCCACATTCTGGAAAGTCAGGGAAAGTCAGGGAAAAGTCAGGGAAGCTCATAGCAGTCAGGGAAAGTCAGTGAAATAGAGGGGTCACCTGGAAAGTCAGGGAAAAATTGAGATTTTGTCTACCAAAACACTGTTTGTCTCCCGAAATTTCCCAGTGATTGTAAAATGAGGGATTTAATTAATTTATGCTCTAGAAAGACCTTTGATCTTGACTATCGAAGCATTTTTTTCTTCAGGTTTGGAGTGATCTACATTATGACTTTGTTATTAGTCATAATTATATTACTCCTTTTTAGTTTTTTATCTAATGAAGTGGATTGATCTAAATTATGACATAATTTTGTTCATAATTAGATTACTTTCATATAGTTCTTTTTTCAGGATTAGAGTGATCTATGTTATGATTTTTTTTGTCATAACTAAATTACTCCTTTTTGTTTTAATAGTTGTACTTTTTTGTTTCAGTAAAATGATATAATAGGTAATATTTTCTATTGTCGATGTGAAAGTGCAACTTATAACTTATGTTTATTTATATTTTTTTATAATTATTTATTGATTTGATTATTGAGTGCAGACTAGTGAGCAGTTCACTGTGAGTGCTATTAATACAGGGTGGAAACGATAATTGATCTCATTCGATTATTTCTAAACTACACAAGATATCGAAAAA